ATATTAATCATGTAACAAATCTTACTCTATTAATAAAGATCGTAAGAAATGCCTCACTTAACAGTAAAAAAAAAAAAAAAAACAATGAGTTTGAAAGAAATATTAAAAAAGAAAAAAATAATATAATATAAAATTAATTAAAAAAATTTTTTTAAATAATATTAAAACTATAAATTAACAAGCAGTTTAGTAAATTAAATATATATATTAAATATATATATATATAAACTCCTAACTCAAATTATAGAGTATAAAGATTTTAGTTAAAAAAGTAATTTTTGAACAAATATAAATATTTTCTATTATATTTGCTTATTTAAATAAAATATAGTAAGCTTTTATTAAGAAAAATTTATTTGCTTTATAATTAAATACTTTAAGCAATATTTATTTCATTCAAATACTTTTAAACATTTATTTTATAAATTGTATTTTATTTTTTACTAATAATTACTAATACAAGATTTCTTAATAATAATCTAGTTAATTATTAGTTTTTATTAAAAAATTTTAATATAAAAGCTTAAAATTAGTTTACTTTTGTTAAAAAATCTATAATATACAAAATATTAATTATATTTTATTATCTGATTATATTAAAACAACACAATAACTTATTGAATTAAAAGAGTATATAATTTATGCCCTGTATAGGTTCTTATGTCTACTATCTGATATGCTTAAAGGTTAATAATATATCATGAAATTTTTATTATTGATATAGTTTTGTTAGATTTGGATTTTTAAACTGTAAAAAGGTTTTTTTTTATAAATATCTTTAATGTTAAACAATATTTTTATGTATTACTTTTTAAGATTGTTTTTTTATAATTTTTTTTAAGGATAAGTGAGCTGTATTTCATGGTTACTGTTAATTTCTTATATATTATTACTATTTTAGAAAAAATACAAAAATAATAAACTGGTAACAAAAAAAAATCTATGATGAAGGGTAAATATAATATATTGAAATTTAAGAGCACACAGAATTTTAATACAGTTTAAGATCAAGTGAAAGGGATAATAATAATTTATTTTATAAAGTTCAAAATATTTTACGAATAAAATCAAGGTTTGACCTTACAGTTTCAGAAAGAATTTACATATTTTAGTATATGTTAATGTAATAGACTATGACTATTTAACTAACTATAGCAAAGATCAAAATAATTAACATATCCAGAGTAAGTACAGATAAATTGATAAAATACTGTAGCTAAAAGCTAGACATGCAATATATACTGTGTAATGAAAAAGTTTTTTATATTTTAAACCAAATTTACGATTATAACCATAACACGGTTTACATATGGAAATTAATGGCACATAGAGAAAAAGGAAGAATATTAAACAGTATAAACCATACCGCTGAAGTCTAAACCGCAACCCTAGATGATAGCAAGCATATTCTGCGTACAGTAATTCCTTTCTTATACGATAGATTACGAGCGAGAACAACAGTTTTCCATCAATCGTAATTTTTATTATACAGTATATTCTAATACTTGAATTACATTGACACTGTATATTAGCTACATCTAGAAATAAAATAGTATTTAGTGACATTCTAAAATATCTTTGAAGTCATAATTCGGTAAGATAAAATGAAACATGAAATATGGCGATGAGATGCAACGTGGTGTAATGAAGCATAGAAAGCTTGACCCTTAAGGATATTATATCGCATCCTATATGATTTACTTTACTGAACATAAATAGTCAAATATAAATTTACTTTGCACATAGCTATTTTTACTTGATATATCGTGGAGTGCAGGGAATAAATTAAACTCGCTTGTCCTTCAACAGTGATTTGCTTTTACAAACTTATTTAGACGCCAGATTTTGCTATTTTAGATCTCTTCCGTCGTCAATAGTCATATAATACATGCACCAGGATATAATAGGTGTCATTGGATCAAAAGATTGAATTAGATCTTGAAGCATATATATATATATATCTTGTTCTATCAAATTCACGTTTCATTAAAATAATTTTAGTGTTGTGCGAGTGCAGGCTCAAGGAAACGAAGGACCTTGAGATTACAATAAGCAACTCTGTGTTAATTATCATCATTGAAACAATAATGGGGTGCGGAAACTCTCTTACCGATGACTTAAAGCTTATGGTCAATAATCCCCGATATAGCGACATAAAATTAATATGCAAAAATGATTCGATCCTTTACGGCAACCGTACAATCCTTATCGCTCGTTCTGAAGTGTTTAAAAAGATGCTATCTATGGAAACAGCAAATAATATATTATTTTTGAATTTTGACGCATCACATATAGAAATTATTCTCGAATACTTATATACAGGGTCAATTTCGGAGAAAATCACGATCGAGAATACTTTTGGAGTCTTCAATGCAGCGAAATTCTTCAAATTAAAGAAACTCCAAGTTCTTGTCTCGGAATTTTCTAAAAAAATGAATGAACATGAAACCCAATTTCCCGAATTATCATCTAAGGCAGATAATGACACTATTAATTATTTAATAGATTCTATGGTCAAGGTTTCTTGGGGCTCTATTGAATTTGATATATTGTCGCTCCAAGATCTTCAATATTTATTATCAAAGAGGGATAAAAGGAGAATATCTGAATCTAGCGAATATTCTGTCTTACGATTTGCAATTTTGTCGGCTGCGAACAAAATATCTCAAGAAGCATTTTTTATTTTAGAGAAAAGATTACCGCCATGGAAGAAAATAAATCAAGAGATTAACAATAATTATTTTATAGAGATTAAGAACAATTATTTGATAGAGATTAACAACAATCATTTGATAGAGAAAGAGCTTAGCACGTCAATTGCAGATTCCATAAACCCGATTACAGAGTATATTGATTTTAGAAGAATTGATGGAGTTATTCTTAAAAAAGTTATCGAACCATTGAATATTGCCCCAGGCGAAAAAATCTCAGACGCATATCGATTTCAAGTCAGTGAAAAACCATCATCCTCTGTATTATATATAATAATTATATTTTGTACATTATTTGTGGTTATGAGTATTTTGTCTTCGGATATGAATACTCCTCAAAATGGAAGGCCCTCAGGTCGGCGTTTATGATGAAAGACTTGATTTTCCTACTTTTCCTGGAGATTAAACATACGGATGGGTTTTAGAGTTAGAGGGAGATATACCATCATAATATTAAAGGAATTAAGAAATTACGATTTTCATACAGGATAATACAAAAACTATTATGGCTTAAGCATGACAATAAGAAAGTTGCTTGTAATCACTATACCCTTCGGAGAAAATTCAAAATTTTATCTTTGGTAAATTAAAAAAGATGTAAGTAGAAGGAATGTTGGGGCTTGAACACTATGCTCTGAAATTTCGTGATTTCGATTACTGGCATTGTTGTGATCATGGTTTGGCATGATATTCCTATAGAGGACATATACCATAATGCTTTAGAAATAAACCGCGATTATGTACTTATTATCCTGCATAATTCACAAATTTGGGAATCCATTATTGCACAGTGTATTGTGTTTAAGTAATGATATTAATACGTAATTTGTAATCTACTATGCATATTAGTAATAAAGTTTTTTAACGGTGAGTTCTTTATACTGTAGACGGTTTTACGTGTAAAAAGTTCGGTAGTTGCATATTGTAACGGTGATCGGCGAGTCTGTCGCTAAGGAAAGTTCGGATTCGCGTAACGATGGTGGTGAGGCGGAATTGATGTTGGCCGAAAAACTTATCTAACTGCCTTTCCTTTATTTGATTTCTTCTTTCTTTTATACATTCTTGCACACTCATTATATAATAAAAATGATAAATACAAATCTCATGACGAAGCAATTGCTATTTGATTTTCACACTACTTTTTACATAATTCTATTAATTGATCCCATAGTGCCATGATCATCCTTGCGATTGTATCGCGATTCTACTTCTAATATTTTTCCTTTTCCAGGCGCACGCTAGTTTTCTATCACGCTTATTGTGTTCGATACTACTATTTTCTTTCCAATATTGTGGGGAACCCAGAATTCAGTGTAAGGCGCGTTACTCTTTCCCGCGTTACAATTTAATCAAATAAATTAATCTCTTTTGTACTTGAAGTTCCATTTACAGTATTATACTTTATACAAGATAGCTCTAAAATTAAATATTCTGTGGTTCAATCATATTGGAGCTAATAAATTGCAATCGTCGATGGGATAAGAGATTAAAAATTTATGAGGCGAGTTTTGTTTGACCGAATTCACTGCTTTGTCGTCTCTTCCTTTTCACTCTTTTATACATTTTGAATACATGAGTTGGAATGACTATCACAATTAAAAGTATGACGAAAATGATTATCTAAGGTTCTTTCATGATTCTCTTCTATTACATAATACCCTCCCAATTCCATAATATTATTTCATAAGTTCTTTAATTATAAATCTTCTGTCACAATATTCCTTTGTTACATAATATTCTATCACAATACTATCGCGTTCCGCCGGTCCAAACGGGTCTTTCGTGGCGACGTTTGGTCACGTGATGGGAATCGCATTTTAATAATTTATTATTTGTTTTAAAATACAACACATTTTTTGTTTATATACTGTGAATAGTGTTTTTTTTTTTTTCGAATGTATGTAATAAAAAAATTGTAAAACAATGCATAGTATATACATCAGATAAATTCCAAACACATCGATTCATCAATCTAATTAAAATATACAAACTATCGTGTACTGTATTTTAAGAATTTTATACCATATTTATATAAAGCAAAGCTTGCCATTTATTTGTAATATTTAAAAACATGGATACGGTATATGAGACTTAAATCAAACAGAATTTTATTCCAGATAGAGTTTTATCTAGTGGTCAGGTAATAGGATTTTGAATTTTCCGGGATAACAGAATGAAACAACAAAATAAAGGTTTGACGGAAGATTCTTCCATCTTTCAACCGGCTTATGTAGTACATTGTTAACTGAAAACGAGATCTTCTTTTCATCAATGTCCAAGTATACGATAATTTTTTCATTTTTGTTTCCAAATGTACGAGTGCTAAATAAGGTACAGTGATTATTATGGCAATATTGTCCGGATGAACTTAAAACCCACCCATACGGTTGAGATCCGGCAGCACCAGAAAAATCGAGATCTTCGCTACAAACGCCGATATAACATTCCTTACAAGCGTTTTCAATTTGAACATAAAATTCATGAGTGCCACTACTCATAAGCTTATTGGTTCTTACACTTTGATGACCGATTGGATTTGGAAATGCACTAACTGTCTCTCCATCTTCGCTGATTTTTAAATCTGGACCACAACAAACTCTATCCCACTTAAGAATAGAATCTCCGTAAAATGCCGGCAATGATGTTTCTACGCAAGCTTGAAACCGATATGAGTCGAGAATATTGTTAATTGGAACAATATCCAGTGGTTCAATTATTTTTGCAATAATTTTTGCATCAATCCTTCGAAATTCAATATAATCTACAATAGGACTTATAATATCTGCAACTGAAGTACTAATCTCTTCTCCGATAGAATTATTGTCGACTGTTTTAAATGGTTCCTCGACCTCGCTCCATGGTGGTAACTTTTTCTCTAGCGCGACAAATGCTTCTCCAGGTGCTTCTGTTGCGGCCGTTAAAACCATAAATCGAAAAACAGAATATTCACTGGATAAAAATATTTGTGTTCTATCTCTTATTGACAATAGACATTGCAAGCCCTGAAATGACAATCTGTTAAATTCCATAGTATCCAGAGGAATTCTAGCCACTGAATTTACTAGATAACGAACAATACTATTGTCGGCCAGAGGTGACGCTAGATGAGTTGCTCTGGATAATAATTCGGGTAATTTCTTTTCATTACCCCCGTTTTTGCACAATCTTTTGTAGATTGCTAAAATATTGTCTTGAAGGTTTTCTAATTGGAAGAAACTCGCAGCGTGTAAAATTCCAAAGGCATTTTCAGTTGTGATATCACCTGGGGAAATTGTTTCTGTATATAAATACTTGAGTATGACATTCATAGACGACATTTCGACTTCTGGAAATGAAATTTGATTGCAAGGAATTTCCGTCATTTCTGCAAAGAGCATTTTATTAAGTACTTCGGATCGCGCTGCAAGAATTGCTCGGTTTCCGTAAAGGACCACATCATTCTTGCATCTAATCACCAAATCACTATATCGTGAATTACCAATCAAGAATCCTAAATCTTTAGCAAGAGAATTCCCGCGTACCATTATCGTATTCGTGGAGTAATGAGAAATACAGTGCAATAGTTATGCATCTACTATATGTATGTTTTACTTTTCTATATACCACTTTCTTACTCCGCCATAATTCCGTGTCTTGAAATGCAATATTGGAGAGACTAAGCCTTGATCTTTACATTCAGTGGCGTAAGAAACGATACTGGTGTTACATTAAACGAACAATCATATAATCGTGCGTTAACACCATCTTTTGATTGCTAAACATTTTAAATTCTATATATTGGTCCAGTAGTGCAATGTATCATCTGTTTTTCTTTATTTTTTGTGGCTTACCCGGCTTGGCTGGCTTTGTTAATTTAAATACATTATTAGGTATATAAGTCTAGAAGTAAAAAACTATGGCTAATAAAGCTTGCGAAAAACTTGATGTTTTTACTCTGATTTCCACGAATCATGTATTCGCGTCAGCATGAAATATTTATTCTCGTGTAGACAAAGTATATAATATAATGAAGAGTATTATGGCGGTTACGTTAATTAATTATAAAATTATTTAAACCTTTGGATAAATTTAAATGTCAATGTGGCTCATTCATATTTACTTGTTTTAGCGCCACTCAAAAAAAATTTTCCATTTTACTTGTTTATTTCTTGGCTCATGAACAACTTTTTTTCGAATAGCTACTTATTATTTTTT